TCAACATACATCGCCTCTGCGTCTTGGCCTGACCGCTTGTAAATTCCCCTTGCCCGTACCCTTAGGCAAGGGCCTATTACCTACATTTTCAGCTTTAGTTTCAATAACCATCATGGTAGCGCTTTATTTTTCAGATTCCCAACAACAACAAACATGTAATTTTTAGGACTCTTGCCTCTCACTTCCAGGCGTTAGGTAACCACAAGGGAAGCCCCACCCCTTTCTTTAGCCCCGCCCCCATGGTTGCGGAACCAATTCACGCCTCCCGCAGCCCTACGCTGTATCCAATTGGATACAGGATTAGGCGCAGCCGCATTGAGTGGCGAAACATGGGGCGGGTCGGTTAAGAGTGAAAAAGGGTGAGGACGCAGGATGGTTTGTACCTTGTTGGGCTCTTAAAAGGGAATGTGAGGAAGAGAATTAAATGAGGAAGCCACCAAATGGGTGAGGAAGTAGTACAAAGCATATGAAGTGACCAGTCTTATAATTCAGATTTCTCATTACTTAATCTAAAGTAGCCCCACTTTGTTGTTATGTACCCTCGAGTGGGATCGACTCATAGCAACCCTTCCTTGGGTTTCGAGGCAGAGTCACTTTCGGAAGTAGATTGCCCAGCCTGCCTTCCGAGGAGTGACTGGTGGGTTTGAACCGTCAGCCTTCTGGTTAGCAGTCAAGTGCCTTAGGCAATATGCTACCAGAACTCAGTAGCCCCACAGACACCATCATATCTTCCTATTTTAATCCTCTGCATGGCAGTTCATTGACTCTCCCCTAGAACTTCTCTTCCTCTATTTCCCCATTTCGGCGCAATGTAAACGACCTAAGAAAAGCAAAACCAAACCCACTGTCATCGAGTCTAATCAGATTCACTCTGCCCTATAGCTATAAATATCCTAAGAACAGAGTCTATTTTCTATCTGGTTTGCAATTTCTTTCCTGCGCCCCAAACTGTACCTGATACAGAATATATGAATTTCATGCTTGTGGTAGTTAAGTTTGTGTGTCACCTTGGCTGGGCCTGGGTGAGTGGCTGGGCAGCTGGGTGTAGTATTCCCCATGATGAGACTGATAATCAACTCCATGGTGGAATCTACTGTGAGCAGCTGCAAAGCTGCCTTAGGGAATGTGGTCTGCTTCCTATATATAAGCAGAAGCCTTGGGGAATGGTCTCTAGCCTATGGCACGCTTGGACCCTGCATGTAGCCATGTTGTTGCTCAGCAGCCTGCTATGCTCTGCCAACCTTGGGACTTACAATAGGCTTAAGTTAACGGCCTGTGGTGTGGTTTGGTAACATCGGGACTCTGTGCCTTCTTGTCAACCTTGGGCTTGTCAGTCTCCGTAGGCAGGCAGCAGCTGTCTGCGTGAAGAAATGCCTCCAGCTCCAGTGTGCTGGGAGCAGGAGGCAGAGGTGGACCCCAAGGTTGAGGGGCTTTCACCCAGCCCCTAGAGCCTGGCACTTTGAACTTGGACTTAAATTAAAGCCTCCAATTGTAAGAATAAACTCTTGTTTGTTAAGGCCATCCCATTTGTGGTATATCTCTTATCAGAGCAGCACTAGGTAACCAGAACAATGCTGTTGAATGTATGAATGAATGAACAGTTGGCAGCATTTGGGATCTTTCCTCAAGCATCTGCATGATACACAAAGATTTCTTGGATTACTTTGAGGCTTTGACTTACCTTTCACAATTTTTTAAAAATGCATTTTATTGAAATATATGTACAGTGAAATACACAAAACTAAAGTGACATAGATCAATGTTTTTTTGTTTTTTTTTGCCGTGTTCCCTCCCCTCCCCTCCTACTCCTGGCAACCAAGAAAGTTTCTCTCCATAATTAAACCTTTCCTTGACTCTCCACAACAATGAACTAATACTATATTTGTCCTTGTGATTGACTTATTTCACTCAGCATAATGTCCTCCAAATTCATCCATATTATGCAGTGTTTTGCAGACTCTACATTATTCTTTAGTGTTGCATAGCATCCCATTAGGAGCTCTGGTGGCCTAGTGCCTAAGGCATATGACTGCTA